TCTTTCCCTCCCTAGTTCTACATCAAACGGCTTTCATGCCGATAACGATGAATATGATCTTGCTCACCCAACAGAAGGGTTTGCTTCGATCCCAGAGGCCATTGAAGACATTCGTCAAGGAAAGGTGGGTATTATCAGTGCTTTTCGTGTTTTAGAGAATACTTTCTTTGTCACCATATATATATAGTTGAGATGTGATGTTATGTGTGAGCTTTTTACTGTAGTAAAAAAGTTAGATGTGATTATTTTTAAGAGCTTTTTACTGTAACAAAATTCAAATTCTAAACTTGAATCAGCAAAAAGAACGTGACCTAAGTTAACATTTGAATTGCAGATTCTACTGGTTGTAGATGACGAGGATGAAAAGAATGAAGGAGATCTAATAATGGCAGCTGAATTGGCAACACCTGAGGCTATGGCTTTCATTGTGAAGCATGGAACCGGCATAGTTTGTGTGAGCATGACAGGGGAAGATCTGGAGAGGTTGCAAATTCCTTTGATGGTAAACCAAAAGGAGACTGAGGAGAAACTTTGTCCTGCATTCACTGTCACTGTGGTATGCACGTATTCTTATTTGAGGTTTTAGTTTTGAAGCAGATAATTAATTTTTTTTTTCTTTTTTTTTCCTTCAAATATTGCCATGTTTGACTACTGTTTCTTCTTAAGAAGTTGAGATCTTGTAATTCCACTGCGAGGTGAATGCCTATAGTTGTTTTAAGGCAATTGCTTTTCTCAGTAGCTAACTGGCTTTTTTCGCAATTGGTTTGTCTTTTGAAGTTATTCTTATCTTTTGTTTTAAGCTATTAATTTCTCATATTTGGTTTGTGTGTAACATTGGATTTTTAGGATGCAAAACATGGTACGACCACAGGAGTGTCAGCTCGTGATAGGGCAACGACAGTGTTAGCTCTTGCTTCCAAAGATTCAAAACCTGACGATTTCAATCGCCCGGGCCATATCTTTCCATTGAAGTACAGGGAGGGCGGCGTTCTGAAAAGAGCAGGACATGCGGAAGGTTCAGTCGATCTTGCCCTGCTAGCTGGTCAGAACCCCGTTGCGGTCCTTTCTGAGGTTGTCGACGATGATGGTTCCGTGGCTAGGTTACCAAAGCTTCGCGAATTTGCGCAGAAGGAGAACTTGAAAATTGTATCCATTGCTAATTTAATCAGGTAACATAATTACCTCACTTTTTACAATAATTTAACTAGAGATAGAGCAGTTCTTCTATGTTGATTTTGCATTAACGTTGGCAGCTTACTACGTCGTCAACATTTTAGCTACAAGCCTACACGTCAATTGAGTGACATCTTTGTACACATCGTTCTCCATCATTTTATCCTCACAATTATAAGACAAATTTGAGTTACGGGCAGTTAAATATTGGTTTACGAAGGGCTTTTGATTCTATTTTTGCAGATATAGGAGGAAGAGAGATAAATTGATAGAGCGTTCGGGTGCAGCACCCATACCTACAAAGTGGGGAACATTCACAGCGCATTGCTATATATCGATCTTAGATGGGATTGAGCATACTGCAATGGTTAAGGTGTGAAATACTTTTAATTATTTTTTTTTTTTTTTTTTTTTTTTTTTTTTTTTTTTTTTTGCGTTACTGAAAACAGTTTGTGATATAAGTAAATTACTAATTATATGCTATAAACAGGGTGATATTGGGGATGGACAAGATATTCTTGTGAGAGTGCACTCAGAATGTCTCACAGGAGACATATTTGGGTCGGGCAGATGCGACTGCGGGAATCAGTTGGCACTTGCAATGCAACAAATTGAGGCCGTTGGGAGAGGCATTTTAGTCTACCTCCGCGGTCATGAAGGTAGGGGCATTGGTTTGGGCCAAAAACTTCGCGCTTATAACCTGCAAGATCAGGGACGTGATACAGTAAAAGCGAATGAAGAGTTAGGACTACCTGTTGACTCACGAGATTATAGCGTTGGTGCACAGGTAACAAACTCCTCAAAATATTCTTTACTTAGTACTTCTCTAATTGCTCTAAATGAGCAATTCACTTTGTAACAGACATCCATATTAGAAAAGAGAATGATCAATTCACTTAGTGTTTAAAGAGAATGACATCTCCTTTCCATTGTTAATTTGTTATCATCCTTTGTTAACTCAAAACTTGAGTTAAAATTAACCATCACAAACTTGAAAGAATGACATGTTCTAAAGAATAATGGGCACCTTTCATTGCCAGCAATACTTTTTTATTATTCTCTTTGTTGTCATCAGCATTTATTGTTTGATATTTAAACTCTATTAACATGATATATTATTATTTAAATATAAATGAGATTGTGAAATCTACGTATTAAATAGTGAATGCAGAGAATAATAAAGAGAGTGATAAAAAAAGGGAGAAAGAAGAAAATAGGCCGAGACTTGAGATGAATTAAAATTAATAGGCCAATAGTTTACATAAGTTAATAAATAGGCCAAATTACTGTTTTCGTTCATAACTTATCTGGTTATGAATCATAACTTGACAAGTTATTGTCCATAACTTGTCTGGGTATGAACCATAACTTGACAAGTTTGTCCACAACTTATCTGGTTATGAACCATAACTTGACAAGTTATGACCTATTAATTTCTATAACTAAAAATTGACCTATATACTTTATTAAGTTTTTCATATTGGCATATTTTTTACTATTTCCCTAAAAAAAATGTGACAAGCCTTTCTCAAATTAAAATTTTAATTTTTTCGTTTCTTATAAAAAAAAATAAATAAATGAAAATCTAAATTTCATTATCTTTATTCCGTGCAGATACTAAGAGATCTGGGAGTCATAACCATAAAATTAATGACGAACAACCCCGCAAAGTGTGTCAGTCTCAAAGGGTATGGTTTGACCGTCGCCAGTAGGGTCCCATCGTTAACTCTGATTACAAAGGAAAATAAGAGATATCTGGAGACTAAACGAACCAAAATGGGACACATCTACGGTTTAGAATCCAACGGCCGTTTGGAGAATCATATCAGCAACGGTAAACCGAGGTTGGATAATACTGGTGTTGTATCTAAACTCATAAGCCCTTAGTGCCCAACAAGAAGATCGCAACCGACGTTGCGAGGTGCAGACAAGTATAACTAGCTGGACAGAAAATGGTGATGTTATTTACATGAATTGGTGATGCATTCAATAAGGAATGTAAATTCATGGCCAATTGAGAACGCCAAAAGCCTTGAATTTATGTTTGAGTATTTAGTATTATTTATTTTGGAGTTTTATAATTCTAAAAGTTTGGGTTTATGACTTGGAATTTGAAGAGTTTGGGTTTTAGAATTTGAAAGGTTTTCTAGTTTTAATGTTGAATTATGAGTGGGTTCGAAGGCCCATCAACAGCCTTGTAATCTTCATCTGGAATCATTGGAGACTTTTCCTAAATAAAAAGAGGAAAATAGGTCGGTCCGTTCATTTCACTGATTTGAGTTTAAAATTCAAGTTTTGCTACAGTAAAAAGCTCTCAGAAACAGTCACATCTAACTTTTTTACTACAGTAAAAAGTTCTCACATAAAGTCACATCTCAATTCGAATTAAAAACTCGAATCAACGAACTAAACGGGCCCCAAGACTTGAGATTAATTAAAATTAATGTGCCAATAATTTACATAAGTTAATAAATAGGCTAAATTACTGTTTTCGTCAACAACTTGTCTGGTTATGAACCATAACTTAACAAGTTATTGTCCATAACTTGACAAGTTTGTCTATAACTTATATGGTTATGAACCATAACTTGATAAGTTATGGCATATTAATTTCTATAACTAAAAATTGGCATATATACTTTCTTAAGTTTTTCATATTGGCCTATTTTCTACTATTTCCCTGAAAGAGAAAAATAGGCCAAGACTTGAAATGAATTAAAATTAATAGGCCAATGGTTTACATAAGTTAATAAATAGGCCAAATTACTATTTTCGTCCATAATTTGTCTGATTATGAACCATAACTTGACAAGTTATTGTCCATAACTTATCTGGTTATAAACCATAACTTGATAAATTTGTTCATAACTTATCTCGTTATGAACTATAACTTGACAAGTTTGTCCATAACTTATCTCGTTATGAACCATAACTTGACAAGTTATAGCCTATTAATTTATATAACTAAAAAATGGTTTATATACTTTTTTAAACTTTTCATATTGGCCTATTTCCTGCTATTTCTCGTTCTCTTTAATCTATTATAGTCTTAAACTCTGCGAGTAATTTTTTGAAATAACAGTTATATAAAATTTTTTTTAAAACAAAAAAGAAGAAAAAATACATAAAAGAAAGGAAGATAAAAGCATGAAAAGGATTAAGGCAAAATAATTTATTTTGTTGTGTTTTAAATTAATTCAATTTTATTTTGTTTAATTTATTTTTATTTAATTTGGTGTTCGAAATATGTATAGTATTATTATTTGAGTAGTATTAAAAATTTAGATGACGTTTGGTTTATGTATTCAGAATTATTCTTGTTTTACGTGTATTTTTTGTGAGAAAAAATATTGTAGAGAATCATAAATTATGATTCAAAATTAAGGACGAATATAGAAAATAAACGACTCTTTAGTTTAAAATAATATTAAAATAAATAAGATCGAGCCACGAATCAATTCAAAATAAATAAATATAATAAATAATAATAATAAAATTAAAGTAGAAATTATTTCGACCGTCAGAAACGGACACATTGTGATTTCAAAGAATATTAATTACACTTGACCACCACTCATAGGATCAATTGTCGTGTTTGAAATCGATTATGTTTTTATTTTTCACATTTTTTGAGAAAGAAAAATTAAAACGTTTTCAAAACGACGTTTAGTGTAATAAAAACAAAAAAATAAAAATGAAAATAATTTTTTAGTTTAGTGTAAAATGAGAGAAATGAAAAACGGATTTTAGTCGTTTTTCAATTTTTGTTTTCGTTTTCTCCTTTCTCAAGCAGAGAGAGAGACATTAATGAATTTTTTTTATACTGAAAATAATATCTTGATAAAACTACCAAACGCATTTTTTAAAATAATTTCTGTCTAAAATTGAAAACGTTTTCGTTTTCATTTTCATTTTCATACAAAAAACAAAATTATTTTAGAACGAGTTCCAAACGCGCTCACTAGTTCTCTATCCAACAGCAAACACGGTATTTTGCTACTCTCTCAAAAGTTTTAGGGGCTGTTTGAAACCCTAATTTTATGGGGGAAGGAAACAACTTTTGAAGAATTTTGATTTTCTTTGTTTGGAACTAGGGGTGTAAGAATTGAACCCGAACCTGACTAACCTGTCCGACCCGACCCGATCCAACCCGAAAATATAGGGCCCGTTTGTTTGCGTTTTCGTTTTCGTTTTTCACGGTTTTCAAAGCAAAAAAATGAAAACGGGTGTTAAAAACGTGTTTGGTGCAATTTTTTTTAAAAAACAAAACCAAAAACGTTTTTGTCTTTTTGTGGAAATTAGAAAACGAAAAAAAGGTGTTTTCGTTTTCTGTTTTCTGAAAAACGGATTTCACTTTTTTTTTCTTTTTCATTTTCTTCCCTCTTTTCTGAAACCGTTTTTGTATTATATATGTTTATTTAATATATTTATTTAATATATTATTATTTAATATATTTAATAATATTATTTATATAATATATTTAATAATATTATTTATTTAATATATTTAATATATTATTTATTTAATATATTTAATA